CCTTTAAGTTAAGAGGTCCGCCATGGATGTGTAAAGCGTGGTGTTTTAAATCATGCTTGTACTTAGAAATGACCTTTGGCTGAACATGGGGTGGGTGGTGGTGGGCGGGGTTATGAATATATTGATTCAATGTCTGACAGATTAAATTGTTTACTTAAAAGAAAGCGCGCGCACACACACATACATACACAAATTTTAAAAAATAAAGTTGAATGACGTAATGTGGGCATTTTGGTAAATGTGTTCCTCTGTGTGGGAGGAGGGTGCATTCAATATATCTCCATGACATATTCTATAAATATATCCAGGAACAATCACACAAGAGAGATGAAGCACCTTGCGACCCCCCCCCCCCCCCACTGTTNCCCCCCCCCCCAATTGTTATGATGCTCCCGCAGAAGCCACCTCTATTATATTATATTTACTCATACTCATACCTCTTGGGTTATATGTGTAAAAAAAAAAAAGGTGAATGTGACATCTGGATCTCCCCTCCCTGCTAGACGTACGAGCTGATCACAAGCGCTATAACAATATATCTATACAGGGCCACCGCGGGTAATGAAGCTTTCCTGTATTGCATCGTTTGAGGATCAGCCAAACCTGCTCTTGCGTGATGCCGGGCAACTGGGCAGATGCTATCTGTTGTTTAATAGAAATGTTTAGGGATGCCAGGTTTTAGGCAAACCCACCTACGAAAAAACAAAAAATATACATTTTTCGTATTTTACTAGCTCCGTCTTTTTCAAGGCTAGGGAGAGAAACCTCCACGTCCCCCAAGCCCAAACCAGCACGTTAAAACAATTCCTGGTGATTTTGTGTGTTGACACATAAGACACCTGCTTCGAATGAATAAGATAAGATAAGAAATATAAGATAAGATGATAAGATTATTTTATTGATCCTAACAAATGGAAATGTTTTTTGATTGCATTGTACACTTTCAGCATATCAATAAAACAGCTTGAACACAAGACATCTCCATTAAATTATGTCACTAGGTTAAAAAAAACAAACAACAGCATTCAGTGAACTCTTAGCCATAAAAGGGACTTATTATTTGTCATTTACTTTAGTGACATCTGGGACAGCACGCTGGAAAATTCGTACAGATAGGGGAACAAAAGAATTTTTATATCTTTCAGCCCTGAGAGAAAGAATTCATTCATCAGTGGAGTAGCCAAGATTTCCAAGATGGAAAAGAGTGTATATGTGTGTGTGTGTGTGGGGGGGGGGGTGTCGATGAGCGAGCCTGCGAAGGCAACGAGGGGGGGTCGCAGGATCAAAATCGAGGGCGCCTTGAAGGCCCCCGATTGAAAGTGGTGCAGTCTGCGGAGGAGGTCTCAAAGTGCCAGACACATTTTAAAAAATATAATTTTAAAAAATGCAGTGAGCATTATGACACATGTATGCCTGAATTTATTATGTGTCATTCTATGCGGAGATTAATAGATGCGGTACTATATAGTGAAAATTTCATGTCATTGGGGTAAGCATAGCTCGGGTTTGCCCTCCACTGAAAATGCAATTCACTTTTAGGTGTTAAGGCAGCTTCATGTGGTCACATGGGCGCCCGCAGAAAACTTTCTAGAGGGGGGGGGGGGGGGG